AAACCCAGCGGGCAGGGCAGGTTAAAGTACTGGGGAATCCACCGCCGGTTCTCGGTACCTACCAGCCGATCCCAACCTTGTCCTGCTGCACTTGCCTCATCTTTAGGAAGATAAAATAAGGTGGCTGAGCTATGTTTCTAAACCTTTCCCTCTCCCTCGCGGCCAGTTCCTGAAGTCGTTTTCTCTCTGGATTTCTGGCTGAAATCCAGCTACACCTGACTGCGGTGGAGATGGGGATCCTGAGAGCTGGTTGGCCGCGGGAAGGTTCCCGAAGGAGGCCGCGGCCTTCCAGGGCACTCAGGCCTGAGTCGGGATTCAGCCCCAGCTCTCCAGCTCCTACCGGCTAGAGGAGAGGGACCCACCGGGACCGAGCCTGGCCGCCTGTCGGAATTCACAGCTCCTCACCCTCCCCGCAGGCTCCCCACAACAGCACGCACGCCTGGGAGCAAACTGCCGCGGTGTGTGCACCACTCCCCGGGGCTTCCCGCAGCAGCTGATTGGCAAGGGGGTGGGGGTGGGGGTGGGGGTGGGGGTGGGGGTGGGGGTGGGGGGGTCCAGCAGCGGGCGGTAACCGGCGCCCTGCCCCCTCCGCCTCCGCCCCAGTACAAGAGGGCTGTAAAATTCCGGAAGAGAGATTAGAGGCAGGGGATGGGTGGGGCGGTGAATCAGTACATTCTTTCCTCCCCCTGCCTCCTCCTCCCCGGTTATCACTTTGGGAGGGGTTGGGTCCTCTAGGCCTTCTCTTGACCGGTCCACAGGGTCGGGACGAGCGAGGCAGTGCTGGGCGGGAGCCTCCCAAACTCAGTTGAACTTTGTAGAGCCTGGATCGCTTATTTTGCAGCTCATGACCCCATCTAGTATTGGGTTGGGGAATTTTGGTCCTTGCTTCCAACTGGGTCCTTTCCATAAGAGTAGCTCATAGGTCTGTCTGTACATTTGTTAGTAACTCCCATTTACTCTGAGGCAAGGTCTGTGCCCGGTCAGTCTCGTCTTCCCGAAACTGCAAAGTAGCCATAGAGGCAAGGAATCTGAAAGCTCAGAGAGGTTAGGTAACTTGCCCAAGGCCTCACAGTGGCGGAGCCAGAAATAATCCCAGCTCTATTGGTTTCATACATTTCCCACCACATCCTACAGTTTCCTTTAGCTCAGGACATTGGAAAGCAGCACTTGTCAGGGGGTAGGGAAGTAAGGCATGGTCCACCTGCACCCTGCTGGGCACTACAGTTATATTGTCATTAATCATTTAATTTTTTTTCACAACAAGCCCCCGAGATAGATGTGATCACCATGACCATATTACACATGAAGAAACTTTAGAGGTCAGGAATTTAAGGGGCAGAGCTAGGATTCCTGTACAGTCATAGTACAAAACAGGGTTAATGTTTACATAGTGCTCCACAGTTTATAAAGCACTTTCAAGATCTTCATTATCTTCCTTTCAGGGCTATCCCATTTCACAGATGAAGACAGGTTCACTCATGAAGTTAAGGTCATAATGCTAGTAGTAAGTAGCTGAGCCTGCAACTTTGAGATAAACTCTGTAGGGGCACCTGGGTGGCTCAGTAGGTTAAGCGGCTGCCTCCAGCTCAGGTCATGATCCCAGAGTCCTGGGATCGAGCCCCACGTTGGGCTTCTTGCTCAGCAGGGAGCCTGCTTCTCCCCTGCCTGCCTTTCCCCCTGCTTGTGCTCGCTCTCTGGCTCTCTCTGTGTCAAATAAATACAATCTTAAAAAAAAAAAAGAAATTCTGTAGAACCAATAGTAGCAAAGCTTATTCCATTGAAGCATTCCACAGTGCCAAGCACCATTCTAATAATTGTAATAATAGCTAACATTTATTGAACACTTACTGTGTGTCCAGTGTGGTTCGACCTGAGTTATATATACTACTTCCTGTGATGCTCAGAACAACCTTTGGAGGCAGGTACTGTTACCTTTGCCATTTTACAGATGGGGAAATTGAAACTAGAGGCTGTAACTTCCCAAGGCTAACCAGGAACTTAATGGCAAATGTAAGGATGCCAGATGAAACAGTCTAGAGTCCCAGGGTGGGAGCCAGGCACCTGGTTTGTGTCCCCACCTCTATCTAAAACCACGTCTTCAAGGGTCTCCATTTCTTTGCCACACCACCATTAATTACTTCTTCTAACTCCTGGCCGGCCCACACAGCTCCTGCTCTCTGGAAGCTAACGCTCTATAAAATCCGCCCAGAATACCGCCAGCTTTGCCTCACAGGGGCACTGGGAAGATTAATGAGCTAATGGCGATGGGAAGGTTTCAGCAAAGGCACTGGATAGACTCGGGACACTCATTATGTGTGAAACTCACTGCCAAGGGCTGGTTCGCACTGTACTAAGGTGCCTGCAGCCCAGTACCTGATCTGTTTTGAGGTGTGCAGCCTTCCCTGGGAAACCACTTGGGTGAGGTCATTCATGTCAGGGGTTAGAGCATTTTCCTGCTGACCTGGAGGTATGGTGGTATCATGGTCTCGCTTTCGCTCTCAGTGGGGGGTGTTTCCAACATCTCAGAAAGGGTTCCAGCCTACTCTGAGAGACACCAGTTATTGATTGCAGTCAGAGATTAACATTACGCTTATTTGGGCTTCAGAGGCAGACACCTGTGCTGAATCCTGGGCCTGCCACTTGATCTCTCTGAACTTCCCATCCCCTTTAAAATGAAGGTAATAAAACCTCCTGATTTGGAAGGTTATTTTGAAGAGTAAACTTGATAATACATTTATTTTTTTTAAAGATTTTATTTATTTATTTGAGAGAGAGAGAATGAGAGACAGAGAGCACGAGAGGGAAGAGGGTCAGAGGGAGAAGCAGACTCCCTGCCGAGCAAGGAGCCCGATGCGGGACTCGATCCCGGGACTCCAGGATCGTGACCTGAGCTGAAGGCAGTCGCTTAACCAAGTGAGCCACCCAGGCGCCCAACTTGATAATACATTTAAAAACAGCTCGCCTCGGGCTTAGAATAGAGTAGATGCTTAATAATTGGTAGCCACTATCATGGCCATTATTGTTTTCCTTATGTTGTTATTGTATTATTTACTGACATTTTAGGGCCCGGCGGAGAGCTAGATGAGGGAAGACTTATTCATTTGTTCAACCGTGTACCAGATTGCCCCAAGTAGGTCAGTCTAAGGAGGGGAGAATCATGAAAATAGGCATTTACAATACACTGTAATGCGTGCTATGATAGGGGATTGCGGAAGGTGTTTTGAGACTTTAGTGGAAGAATCAGTGACCAGGAGACTCAACAAAAGTTTTGCGGAGGAGGTAGTTCTCTGTTTCAAGTCTGTGTTTCCAGGAAGTGGAAAATGCTGCCTGCTGGAGGCAGGCAGAATGCAAGCAGCAGCTGAGCCTCTGCTCCTCATCCAGGGGCCTTGATTCTGATCCGCAGCCCCTCCTTTCAGGGCCTCTCAACTCCCACGCAGTCCTGCCAGCCAGCCTTGCCCTGGAATACCCTCTCTTGGGCCACCTGCTGGTGGTGAACATCTTGGGTTCTGTTCTGTGGCTTGATGTGGCTGAGTCATAAGACCTTTCTTTTTACTGCTAAGCTCTAATAGAAGCCTTCTGGTCAGGAGCAATGCCCCAGGTCTATCTTATGGTGACAGCCTAAGGATGCCTACTGACCATTGCTTCTCCCCACAGGGCCAGATGGACATGTGTGTGGTCATGGCGGAGGGGAAGCTGCCCAAGGGGCAGGAGTCCCTTCTAGATAGGTGCGGGTTCTGGGCAGGTAAGACTTCCTAGGGTGGATAGAGAAGACAGAGCCCCCCACCCCCAACTCTCATGGGTGAGCCTCCCCTCCTCCTCCCAAGCCAGTCTCCAGTGCTTCTTTCTGGCTGCCGTCAGACCCGCCAGTGGCCCAGACCAGTCTCCCAACTCACCGGCAACCACATTTTCCAAACCAAAACTCAGAACTCGTGGTCTGACAAAGAATTAAAGAATTTCTGGTCACCTTCCAAATGCAAGAGAGAATACTGGAATCTCTAGGATAATCTCTGTCGTTAAAGGGGACATTTGGTTGGAAACCTTTAAATTCAGGATTTTCTCTTTATCAGGCATTTCTCATACATTATGTCATTGATACGTGAAAAAAGCCCCATGAGGTAGCTGAAAACTATTTCCATTTAATAGTTTAGAATACTCAGAGAGAGGAAATAACTTGCCCAAGATGCTACGTCCCCAAAGTTTGAATTCTGGTCAGGAAGGATTCATAGGGGTGTGTGTGTGTGTGTGTGTGTGTGTGTGTGTGTGTGTGTCGCGCGGGGATGGGACCGGGTGTGTGTGTGTGTCCCCAAAGTTTGAATTCTGGTCAGGAAGGATTCATAGGGGTGTGTGTGTGTGTGTGTGTGTGTGTGTGTGTGTCGCGCGGGGATGGGACCGGGTGTGTGTGTGTGTCGTGCCGGGATGGGACCAGGAGAGGCGCAGAAACATCCTTCGCAATTGCAGAATTGCAGACGCACGCACACTATTTATTTGGGGCCTCGAGGAAGGACAGCCAAGAACTGAGCTGCCCTGGTTGTCACTTCTGAGTTGGAAATCCCCGAGCAAAGGGCTCGGTCGCCGCCCCGTCCCATCAGGATCTGGCCCCAGGCCTCACGGCTCGGGATGCCGGAAAAAGCCCTTCGACCTTGCAGGTCACACGGCGGCCGCTGGCCCTCGCCTCTGCCCAGGTGCGGATGGGATGTGGGGGGCCGCGGCGTGGGCGAACGACTCCCCTGGCCACGTTCCGCCCCCTTCCCCGGTCACATGGACGCGCCTTCCGCAGCCGGGAGTGCGGAAAGGAACGAACCAAGAGGAGGAGAAGGGGGAGGCGCCGAGGGCAGTGGGTCAGCGCCCCGCGGGGCAGGTGGGCGGGCCCAACCGCCCCGCGAGCCGGCACGCCAGCCAGTCAGCGGGCGCGGGGGGCTGGCCAGTGGGCGCGCGCGCCGCGCCCCGCAGCGCCCCCTGAGGGGCGGCGGCGGGAGCTGGTTCCGGCTGCGCGCGCAGCGGTGGTGGCGGCGGCGCGATCGGCCGGGCTGTAACCGTCGTCCGTCCGGTAGCGGCTGGAGCGGCAGCGGCGGCCGGGTACGGCGCGAGGCGACGCCACAGGGCAGCGGCGGCAGCGGGGCCAGCGGCGGCAGCAGGAGACGCAGCGGCGGCCGTAGCAGCAGCAAGACGGACTCGTGGACACGCGCCGCCGCCGCCGCCGGGCCGGGCCGGGTGTCGCGCGCCGAGGCTGGGGGGGAGTCGTCGCCGCCGCCGCCACCGCTACCGCCGCCGCCGCCGCCGCCGAGGTGACTGAGGAGAGAGGCGCCTCCTCGCTCCCGCCGCCGCCAGACTTCAATGCCCAGTTCCCAGCTCGCCAGCGTGAGTGCGCTCCTCCCGGGCGGCCCCCGCGCCGGCTCCGGGGCCTCGGGGAAGGGGAGGGCGGGAGGCGCCGCAGCCATTAGTGCAGGCCCGAGACACGTCCCCGGAAGGAGGGCTGGGCCGGGCCGGGGGCGGGGGGAGCGCGGCCGGGAAGCGTGGAGAACGAGGGTGGGTGAGGAAGGGGGGGACCGTGCGTGTGGAAGAATGTGGATTGTATGTGGGGGGAGTGTGCGTGCTTGAGGGGGACAGTATGAGTTGGGGAGAGAGCTGGGTGTGCATGTGGGGTGAGGGAAGACGGAGTTTGGGGGGGGGAGTGTGGATGAGATAGTTGGGGGCCGTGTCCGGAGGCAGTATGTGTGTGTGTGAGTGCTGGCAGAGTGTAGAGGACAGTGGGGTGTGGGGAGGAGTGCGCGTGGGCGAGAGGGTAAATGGGGGAGAGTGAGGAGGTGGGAACGGGAGAGCATTGAGTGTACCCATTGAGGGTAGAGTGGGGGAGTGTGTGGGGGGAATATGAGTGCAGTGTGAGAGAGGGAGGTTGGGGAGAGGGTGAATGGCAGATGAGGGAGCGTGGAAAGGGTGTGCCTGCGACTGTCCAGTGTGTGAGCGGGCATCCTGGAGGCTCTGCGTTGATCGTGATCGCTGTGTACGGCGACAGAGAACCCTGGTGTCCTCGGTTAGGGAGTTCTTTCCAAGAGCGTCTTGTCCCTGGGTTCTTGGGTTCCACTCTGAGGAAACGGTATAGGAGTCTATGTCAGTGGCACTAGAGTCTTCTGGCTCTGGGATTTTTAAAAGAAAGGTCATGCTTTTTCGGGGGGGGAGGGTAAATGTTTTCCCCCATGTTTTATGACTATAAATTTCTAAATTTGTCAAGGACGTGGTCGCCATCCCATCGTCCGGTGCTCTGAGAGCTAACTAAAACAATCTTGTCTATTGCCCAGGATCCTAGGCTCTTGCCTGTAGAGTGTTCAGAAGCATAGACTTTTGTAAAGTACTGCTAGTTTTTCAGGTGAAAGGTATTTTATCGTTAGGTAAATGGAAAAAAATTTTATCAGATATTAGCTCTTTTCTACTCTTCTGGAGAAGAACTCTTGAAAAAAAAATAATGTAACGTTGATGATGAAGAACCAGAGGCCAGTTTATTATTCCCTGGAGTTTGTCAAGATACATAAAAAGTGTCTAGCAGTTCTAGCATCACTGTAGGCAAGCTTGTCTGTTTGGAATCACCGAACTGGTGGATTAGAATATGGTAGTTACTTGCTGCCATGCTCTGTATTAGAGTAGTTTCAGACAGGAAGTGAATGAAGTTATGCCTTGTTCAGTGTGCAAAAGGAAATTAAGGCTACAGAATGACACATTTTTAAGGCTTCAGAATTACTTGCCAGCATGCCCTTGTGTTGGTGAAGATGGGAGAAGTTGTTTGCCTGTATTCTAATCTTGACATTTAAAAAATTGTTTCATATTGGATAGTGAATGTATATTAGGGACTTTTGTCAGGATTGGATGGATTTTGTATGGATTCTTTTTTTTTTTAAAGATTTTATTTATTTGAGAGAGAGAGAATGAGAGATAGAGAGCACGAGAGGGAAGAGGATCAGAGGGAGAAGCAGACTCCCTGCTGAGCAGGGAGCCCGATGTGGGACTCGATCCCGGGACTCCAGGATCATGACCTGAGCCGAAGGTAGTCGCTTAACCAACTGAGCCACCCAGGCGCCCTGTATGGATTCTTGTGTTGTGGGATTAGGGGTCCTTTTTTTTTTTTTTTTTTTTAAGATTTTATTTATTCATGAGAGAGAAGCAGAGGGAGAAGCAGGCTCCCAAGGAGCAGGGAGCCCGATGCGGGACTTGATCCCAGGACCCTGGGATCATGACCTGAGCTGAAGGCAGACGCTTAACCATCTGAGCCACCCAGGCGCCCGAATTAGGGGTTCTTGATAAAGAGTACCTTGATAATGGATTTTACACTTTAATGATGAGAAGTTTCTTAGAAGTTGGGAGTCTTTCAGTCGGATGAGCAGAGACGGCTGATAGTAGACATAAGAGAATTATAGGCCAAAACGTTGATATGTGATTAGAAGTCAGAAATTATGTTTTTCCTAGAGTGTCTTTTTTCTCAATCATTAGCATGTTTTGTGCTTTCAGAAATATTGAATAGCATTGTTAATTTTTAGTGGGATACTGAATTAATTAGTATTAAGGGCCTACTATGCACCAGATATTTTTATACACTCCCTTTATATATAATTCTCACACTCTAAAGGTGGTAGGGGTTCTCATTTGCATTCATTTGGCACATATTGAGTGGTTTCTATTTGCTAGACACTTGGGATACAGTGATGAGCCCTCGATGATTTACAGTGGTGAGATGAAGAGATATAGAGACTCAAAAGAGGGTTAAGTAACTTCTCCTAGGAAACAAGATAATAAGAATTGGAGATGGATTAAAAACCCAGGTCTGTCTGACTCCAGAGTCCTTGATTTTTCCACTATACCATTACCACCCTCACAGTAGGTTGTCTCACTTTGAGGTTTCTCAACCACACAGTGACCTAGCAGCTTGTACAGATGAGAAATGTTGAATTTAATACAGAAGACTAGATGGCTGGAGGCAAGGGGATCATTTAGGAGATGCTGACTTGAGGCTCTTTGGGGCCTAAGCTAGGCTTTTATGTGGGTGGGGATTCTGCCTTGAAACTCTTGGGGCCCCAGGGGGTGTGTGCTTTGAGACATAGTTTTTATGAGGCACCTGGGATATGTCTGGGAGAGGAAAGTCTGATTAAAGAAACCCAGCAGCCTTTTATGTTTTTTATTTTGGGGGAAAGAGGAAGAGTATATTTATTGGGGTAAGAGTCAACTAGAAGTTGTCACTCCTATTTTAGTATATGTGCTGCCGAAGCGAGCACTAGAAGTTGTCACTCCTATGTGAAAGTGTTTCTGTTCATCTGTATGAGATACTTAGGAGATTGTGAAGATCAAGTGAGAAAATAGATGTGGAAGCACTTCGTTAATTATAAGTTGAACTATAGATTCAAAGTATTATTACTACTAAGACCTTTCTTCTTAGTAAGGCAACCGTTTGTTATATTTAGTAACTGGAAAAAGCTAGCGTTTAGGACACCTATACAAATGAAAAATTGTTTAGAACTGCTGAACTGGGTCTGTTCTGACTCAGAACAGCAAAAGTCAAACCACTCCCTCCATGAGTCAGTCAAGTAATATTTAATTTGAACTAACCAAATTTATAAGCAGAAACCATTTACAACATCATTGAACTGTGGTGGCACTAGGGAAGAGTAAATGTTTGAATGCTTTTGATACAACTTTCTTAAAAAGTTTGAAAGCCCCATATTTATATTTCCTTGAAAAGACATTTGTGTGAAGCAAGGTAAAATACTTATTTTTCTTAAGATTTAACTCTTTTTTTTTAAAAGATTTTATTTATTTATTTGAGAGAGAGAGAATGGGAGATAGAGAGCATGAGAAGGAAGAGGGTCAGAGGGAGAAGCAAACACCCTGCTGAGCAGGGAGTCCGATGTGGGACTCGATCCTGGGACTCCAGGATCATGACCTGAGCCGAAGGCAGTCGCTTAACCAACTGAGCCATCCAGGCGCCCAAGATTTAACTCTTCATTCTATTTAACGTTTTGTCTTTTAAAGATGGCATTTCTGTATGTAGTAGTTACAGAATTTTGACACATTAAGTTTAGTAGAGGTTTACTTAACAGGATTTGTACTGTTCCTTTTTGTTGGAATGTGGAATTGGTAACCAGTGAAGCCTCTAGCAAAAGCATTTACAAATAAGATGCAGAAGAGCAGTACATAAATTTATAGCTGTTGCTCTTGGAAGATCAAAACTTAAGTTAGAGTGAAACCCAAGTTAGCTCAATTTCTTCAAGTGCTATGTAATCAGCTATACTACTTATAAAAGTTGGGGATCTTTAAAAATTTTGAGCAATTGGAAATCAAGATCCAAAATTTCAACTTGGTAGACTTAGTTATGTTTATTGAGTAGGGCAGTGGTAGAGATCTTGCGGTCTTAGGACACCTTATGAACTCCAACATTATGCTTTAGGTTTCAACACTCTGTTCCTTTAGAGTCTTACAATGCTGAATCATAAAGCATCTTATTTAAAATTCATAATAGTCCTTTGAGTAAGTGGCACTTTCAGTTGTACAGATAAGGAGATTGATTTATAGAATCAATTGTTGAATTCCAGGTTTTGAAATTGAAGTTAAAGATACCAGTAAATAGATGGCAGTAGATAAAAAAGCTTCTCTTTGGGGCTTAAGGTACTTAAATCTCTTGCTAAACTTTATTTTTGAGTTAACTCTGGTCATTATATAGGAGTTTAGTGGACATTAAAGAAATTGGCCTTTTTGTCTGAAATTTAGTTTTTTGTTTTTTACGTTTTTTTTATGTAAGGATACTTCAGTTACTTGCTTTTTTTTTTTTTTTTTTTTTTATTTTGGGGATGTTGCTTTGAGATTTTTCTTAAGAACTCGTTGGGTTATATAGAAACTGATGATGATTCTCTAAATTTATAAAGTGAGAGTCTGTGATGTTGCAGTTCACATAATTTTATATCTTGGGTTTGTTAGTGAAGAGTGGATACCAGCAATTATAATTTTGTTGGGAAATGGTGATTGGAGTCTGTTAATCTGGAATGTTAGAAGAGCCTTTTATCCATTCTCATCTTTAGGGGTAGTACACGTATAGAGGTGTCTGGTAGCTTTCTCTAGTTTTGTTTTATTGACTGAACCACATTTTCGAGCTCCTTTGGCCACTGTCTTGGGACTTGCAGCCCTATAGGATTGCTGGGTGTAGAGCTCAAGTAGATATTACATGTTGTTTTGTTTTGTGTTTTTTTGCTCCTTGGAGTTGTAGAGGTCTAGGCTAAACCAGAAACTGTCACTACTCTAGCACCTCTAAGAAAGAAGCTGCACAGCATTGCAGGCTCTGTCCATTTTCAGTTACCCTGTGGGGTTACCAGGACCCAGGTGAG